GGGAAACAAAAAACGACTTTAGAATAAGATTTACATATTTATCCGGGAAGAAAGGAAAGCCTATGATAGATCTTAATCATATGGTGAACCGCGGCCTCTCGTCCCGTTACCAGTCCATGTTGGACGAAACATTTTTTTTAATCGAGGTTTTTTATAAAATAAAACAACATTGCAATAAACAATATTCATCAATAACAATAATTCATTATAATAAACACATATTGCATTATCACTCGGATTATATTACAAGAATTCTCCATTTTTTGTTATGTTTGGCAATTTTTCGCTTTTTCAGTGCTAATTCTCTTTCGTTCTCTCGGATAGTTTCAATCGATTTAAAAAAATATTTGAACAATGGCTTTCTTTTACCATTTTTACACTTATTTGTAGAGGAAGCCATAACCGACCAGCGGCAAAGTGAATCACCCTACGACAGGAAAGAGTCCAGAAATCTTCTCGCACATATTTACCCCCTCTTCCCCCCTAAGGTGCTGTGGCGAACGCATTTCTAACGCTTAGCACGATGCGCCACACTGTCGAGCTGAGCACTGTATAATATGACGGGCCACGGCTTCTCACCAGGTAAATGATTAAGCTTATTGAGCACAAAATGGACCTGTCAATCGTTTTGTTATCATGTTGTTATTGTTAAAAATCACTTTTTTCTCCACCTGCTGGTTTGAGTATAAAAATACCTAAACAGATAGTGGCGGCGCGGCGGTGTGGCTCAACGGGCTAAGCGTTAGGAATACGCTCGCCACCGCACCTCTAATTACTCTGCGTGGGTTCGCAGGTTCGAATCCCATGCAGGGATGGTTATGTGCGAGAGGATTGCTGGACTCCTCGCCGTCGTTGGGTGGTTCACGTAACCGCTGGTCGGTTACGGCTTCCTCCACCACCAAGTCCATGCTTCCGGAAACAAACAATACAGTAAAACTAATCCCATACCCGACTTGGAATGGTAACCGGACGAGAGGCCGTGGTTCGCCATATGGATAAGCCGTCTTATCGGCTTTCCTCTCCCCCGGGATAAATATGTAAATCCTATCCTATCCTACTAGCAAAAGGATTACTGGATTCATTGTCGTTGAAGGTTGTTTTACGTAACCTCTGATCGCAAGATCAGGCTCAAGTGTGTGAGACAAATAACTGGATACCGAACGTGGGCTGCTAACTAGACGTTAGGCCGTTTGCGATCTGATTTCTCTGTCTATTCGTATCTCCTCTCGCGAGCAATTTTATCGCGCATATAGACGTCTCCCACCGAATTCGGATACATGAACTCATACAAAGCAAACAGCGTCGAGATGACAATGGTTTGTTGGACAATAAATGTACATATGGATCGTTTTTATTATTATTTTGTTGTTATTGTTATTGTTCGTATATTACTTCTTTTTAACGTTATGAAAAAACGATCTCTCTTTAATTACTGGGCCAATGGCTGGGCCAAATTTTTAGCCGTTGAAGATTGTATTTTTTGCTAGAAGGCTATTACTTTCATTAATTCCAAAAACTCCAGCGAGCCGCATTGGATTCGTTTTTTTTGCGTGCCATGGCGTCATCAAAAGTTGTAAAGTTGTAACCGCAAACGTTGCATCAACACACCAGAACTTCGTCCAAGGGGGAAAAAGGAAAAACAGGTGGCAAAAAACTGAAGGGGGCGAACTGAAGTGAATATTTAAGTATAAACAGCGGTGTCATTATATATACCGTATTTCCCGGCGAATAAGTCTAGACCCAAATTTTTGGCATGATTTTGGGGGGTCGTCTCCTTAGGCGAGTAGGATAATTTTTCTGGTGTCTCCTTATTATTCAACTCGTACCATAAAATACCAAATAGTAGCATGCCCACGTTTTGTTTTAGATTGATAATGTTCTTATATGGTGCACGCAATCGCGAGTTAGGTTGAACATAATTAGATTGAAACTGAAAGACAGTTTGAATTCTCGTAGTTGTTATGGATTGAATATTACTCTACAAGAAAAGTCATTATAGGCTATTTTAACCAATGCGCAAACGCAGCAACCGCTCAAAAGCCTCTGTATGATAATTTGAGATTTCGATGTTGATGCGATTTTACTACTCGTCTTATTTTCAGGTTTTATGCGAAAAGCCATTTTTTCAGGCTTAAAACGGGCCCCGTCTTATTTACTGGGTAGACTTATTCGCCGGGAAATACGGTATATATATACATATAAAATATAACGGGAACAAATGGCAAATCGCAAAAATTTTGTAATTTTCGATCAGAAGCTATGAATATTTGGGGCTCCCGAAGTATGCAAACCAAGATGGCGGACATCGGAATGTAATATGTGTACTAGGTTAGGGTTAGGCCATAATTTTAGGTATAAATACTACGGGAGGCTCTTGGCTAGTCTTCGAACTGATAATAGAACTAAAATAAGAAAAATTGGAAAAAAATTATCGCCTAACCCTAACCTGTTACCCATGTTACGTTCCGATGTCCGCCATCTTGGTTCGCATACTTCGGGAGCACCGAATATTTTTATTAAAATACTTAACCACGCGCCGCTTACAGGAACTGATAGCATTTTTCAGCCCAGCCTATCGCTGATTATTCGGGACTAATTTTTGATTATTTCAACTCAACTAAACTATAGCTTTTTCGAAGACAAAAAAGACATATAAGTTATTTGATTTGCAAATAATTTTTGTAATCTCAACTAGAAACTGACAAATGACACGCTAACACGAGTCAAGTTTACAATTATGCATGGATATCTGTATGATCGTAAGGAGTGTCTGAGCGACATAACAAATTGGCATTGTTACATCATTGTTGACTTATTGCTGATTGGCCATTTTTACAGAAATGACAAGAAATGGATGCTTGGGAAAACATCCAAGCATCAGCGTCAGTTTGAATAAAGTTGATATTCCCCTTTCATCCTCAACCAAGGAGTCACAACTGTAGGGATGTAAGTTTCAGAATTTTGAATCAAAGCGATTCGAATCAGACTTAATTCGAATCGATTCGAAACAATTAAAGAAAAAACGGCTTGATTCTATTTAAAAAAAAAAGATAATTTAGATAACACGCGGCGATTGCACGATGCGGCAACGAGTCTCAACATCGACCAAAAGAGTTTGTTATGCTTGCGTTTAAAGCGTAAAGCGCCACGTACAATTTTGACGGTTTGCCTGTAGGTTGCCGACCCCTTTCAATATTGTGTTAATAATAAGATTTAATTTAATATTGTGTATTTTAATAGTATGTATATATGTACAGGCGGCGCAACCTAAACGATGTCAAACGCTGCTTCGAAATTGATCAAACAACTTGAATAAACTTTCGAAGCGAATAAACCTGTTCGTTTATAGCAGGGGTTCCCAAACCACGGCCCGCGGGCCAAATCCGGCCCGCGTAACGATTTAAAATGACCCGCCGAGCTTACGTGAAATAGTGTTCAACAGATTTTATTTCTACCTTTTTGCGATCTAGATAGCGCTAATTTATGTCATTATCAGAGTTCAAGCACGTGTTTATCGTAACAATTCAATTATACCAGTATATCAATTATGGGTACCGGTGTTAGGATTACAAAGGACAGTAATTTAGTTATCAGCCATATAGGAAAGCTTAAAGATGTCAGAAATCAAACGAAAACTAGTCTTAGAAAACTGACGTTTCTTGAATAAACGGCAGTGTTCGTATTTCTCCATTGAAAAGTATCAAACTTTAGAGGTTTATCTACTTTGCCAACGAACTATTCCAGTTCTGAAGGAATACAACATTGAGCGCTATTATGAGTCAAACGAGCATGTTTGGGCGCACCACTTTTGGGCACTACATTCTTCCGGCCCGCGAACATCTTTCCGATTCTAATTTTGGATCGCGGCCAATAAAGTTTGGGAACCCCTGGTTTACAGGAATAAGATCTCGAGATACTCTGTATCCTTGTTTACAGTTGCCTTCGATTTTTCATATTTTACTAGATGATCCAAATCGGCGAGAGGGCAGTATTTTTATTTTGATACTCCGTTTTTAATTAGTGCTCACGAATCCCCTGAATCTAACCGTTGATAACCCTTCCCTAGTCAGTCACGGTTTTAATTTGTTGGTTCTGGCACAAGGCCTATTGTTTACCGTATTTTCTCTTGTAACACTGTAAATATTGTTCACAAAATGAGCCTTGTTACGTCACACTTACGAAACTGACTAAATACTATTCAGTACAAATGGTAATTTTCAGAAAACATTATATTTCTCACGGTACAACGGATACCATTAACGTTAATGGTACGAAAACACAAAGGAATAAAAGTAAGAAAAAAGACTGCAGATGTGAAGTATATCTGAAAATACATAAAATTAGATAAAAGTCAAAATAAAACCATAAATATAAGAAGAAAATAGGTAAAATCAAGTCAGGAAAACAATAAAAGCGAGAAAGTTTAAAAAATGATAAAACATTGCTAATAAAACACAATAAAATTATCACAATGATAAATTTACTCAAAATTGTTATCTGAGTCGAATAAGCTGGCTTTCCAGTGACATCTTAAAAATTAACAAGTTGGATCAACATCCACGCAGTGGTAAGACTTTTATCTACATATTTCTACTCCGGATAATTATTGAATTTTGCTAACTAAACGGCCAATATAGTATCAATTTTGGTGTTAAAAATCATGTATCTAAATTAAGATTTCAGCGTCATCCTGATATGTTGCGGCTGAGGATTAGATAAGGTACCTTGAAAAATAATGAAAAAGAAATAAATTCTACCGTCGGGAAAAGCCTAATTAATGATTTTGTAACAAAAATAACTAAGTTCTGAGTTTGCGCATTGAATTTCGGTGACAAACGGTGAATTTCGGTGACAAAAACAATCAAGTGGTATATAATTTTTACAGGAAATAAAATATGGATGAAATAAATCAGATTGTTTTGCGAAACGTCTTGAATGTATAATTGTACAGTACACAGAACAAAAACAAAATTTGATATCGAGGACATTTTAGCAATCTATGGGTATTATTTTACACTGAGTGGCGGTACAATTTAGGCGGGAAGATTTCGCTTCTTTCTAGCAAGGACGAGGCAAAGGGCGCAGATGGAGAATAAGACTAAAACAACGAAATTGGCAAGGGACACCAGGACTAGTTGAAGATCATGAGATGCGGTGTCTGGTAATGGTGATCCGGTTGTCGTCAGATCTAAAATAATAAGGATCGGTTAAGTAACCGGTAAATGGATGCTTCCGTGATCATTACTTATCGATCTCGATCGTTAAGTATGTTGATAAATATTTGTCCGTTTGTCTGTTAGACACTTTCGTATGTTACGCGATATCTCACGAAAGCGAGTTTGAATCGTCTCCAAATTTTGCATGTGCATTCATCATGTCTCGGACCATGAAGACGAGAAATACTGAGCGAGGGAAATGTCATAAAGACTTGGGGCAACGGCCTCATTTCGGGCAAATAACGCAATATGCAATGCAATATTAACAATGGCGGGTAAGGAATATTAAAATACACAGTAACTATCCTAATGTACTTGCTACAGTGACTTACCTTTACCTCCCAAGGAAATCAGCTCCCCAGATATGTAAACAGGTTGGTCTGGATCAGCGAGAGATTCCGAGAGTTTCTCTTTCTCGTTCTTGGTAAGAATAATCAAAGGTCCCACGCTGACAAGATTCTTATTTTCATCAGGGTTGCCAGATTCGACATCTCTCTTGCGACGACCAGTTGTTGCGCAGTTCTGCAAGTAGAAAATAAAATTTGATTACATACGATTAGAAAGACTTTTGCCTTTTGGTTTATAGATGTTTCAAAACTTTGCCCAAACAGGTCAGTACTCCTGTAATATGTGTACCAGGTTAGGGTTAGGCCATAATTTTATTCCAATTTTCCTTATTTTAGTTCTATTACGAGTTCAGGGACTGTTTGTGTTAGCCAAGTGAATATATCCCTTGCCCATATGTTTCAGTCTCTTCACACAGCTTGCTGTAAAGTACCCGAACAAAATTGGTATACACACTTCTGGAGCGCTCGATGACGTTTATGCATCAGTATCATTTTTGCATAATGACGTAATACGACGCTCACTCGTTTTATGTGAGGGACATGGCCCCTCGGGCCCCCCTTGCCAAGCTTATGATCCAGACCTGTTCGTGTCTGATAATATAACTTACGGTAGGAAGTTTGCATGTTGCTTCCAACGTATTACAGACATCGACTTTGCAGGTATAGTAGACATATTGACTCTTTGATAACTTGAATGTACGAAACCCGACGGTGGCGCTAGAAGTCAGTGTTGTTCCGTGGATTTTAACGCCAACGCTCTTTTCGGGGCATCTAAAAAATAAGTGAATTGTTTGAAAGGATTTTAGCGTGCTTACAAAGTGGTTTAGTCGTATAGCAAACCGGGATTTCGTGTGGCTACCAGCGAAATAGGTATGAGAACAGGTTATCACAGGTTTTCTCAAAATTTTCTTTGACAGACGCCCATCCTATGTCATATCAATTTCTGTGCCTAATCAACGAGGAAGGATAGTAATACCTTTGACGAAATCAATCAATCAAATCGTTTTTTATTAGCCATCTCGGCAAATCATAACGAAATTGAAAACAAGTGAGATCACAAAAATATTTGTACCGGATGGCAGGATAACCGCGAAATGACCATAATGTCTACTTGTCAGCGGCAATCTTAAAATAGCTTAAAACTTAAATACAAAATTTGCAAAGCGCGAAACGTTTTTATGCGAGAACAGCATCGCCCCAAGATGACGCTGCAAGGCAATAATACACCTGTTATTTATAGAATTAGGGAATTTCCCCTATTTTATTTCGAGGCAGTGCTGAAATAAAACTCGTAAGTCTGAATCAATACATACTAACTTAAATACTGGTAATCAGTAATTTATTTCTTCACCATACTGAAAATAATATCTACACCGAGTGCAAGTCAAGAAATAATCTTCATGTGGTGATAACGGGCTTGGTATCTTCACCCGCATGATGCTCGATAACCGCCACACTAGACAGCGTAGGGCAATGCATGAAATATAACTCAGTGTGTATAAATGGGTACTCCCGTAGTGTGTGTATCAGGTTGGGGCATAATTTTATTTCGATTTTCCTCATTGTAGTCCCATTACTCGAGAACTGTCTGTGTCAGCCAAGTGAATACCGGTTAAAAATCAGTTACCTCCATATTGGTACACATACTTCTGGAGCGCCCTGCCCCACTTTATATATTTAATACTTACCCTTGCTTAACCAAATCTAATTTTCCTGTCAAAGAGTTAAGACTGGGTGTTGCGTAACAATCGATTATCTTCAGCACCAAATTCCCGGATGTAGGCTTATTCGAAATCTCGAGTTCTGCAGTGAGATAGACGATCTGACCAACCTGTAAAATAATTTTTGAATATATATAATGATTTCGGAAGAGAGGAAAGCCGATAAGATGACGTAACAGCTAATAATGTCAATTATGACTGTCGGAGTAAGGTGAACGGCTATGTGAACTGGAGGGAAACGTCGATATGGTGACGTAATAGCTAATTATTACACCACTGAATACATCACTATATAAAAAAGCTGTAGTCAGCGGATTTGTGAATCACCCTTCACTACAGCCAGTGATGGGCGCTCCAGAAGTGTGTGTATCAACATGGAGGTACCTAATTTTGTTCGCCTACTTTACATCAAGGTGTGTAATAGGACAGAAACCTATGGACAGGGTATATTCACTTGGCCAACACAGACAGTCCACAAGCCTGCAATTGAACTAAAAAAAGGAAAATCTGAATCAAATTATGCCAAACTTTCCCAACCCCTACAGAACGAAGGTTACACTAGCAAATACAAACCGTGTAAACAGATCCGCCAGTAAGCTTCTGTCTATCTGCGGCGCCAGGAGCTTTCGTGTACGCATTCATGATGACTTTGAATTTGCCCGAATTTGTGATGACTGGCATGGCATTGGCGGGTGGGAGCCTGCGAATAGAAGTGATATAAGGAGGTTTCTGTAAGTAGTTTTTGCTTCGAATACGGGTTTAGACGTATTCATTCATATGTGAGCAATGCCACGTTTGTTGAGAGCCTAGTCCTGACATAGGATAGGATAGAATTTACATATTTATCCCGGAAGAGAGGAAAGCCGATAAGACAGCTTATCCATATGGCGAACCACGGCCTCTCGTCCGGTTACCATTCCAAGTCGGGTATGGGATTAGTTATATTGTTTGTTTTCGGAAGCATGAACTTGGTGGTGGAGGAAGCCGTAACCGACCAGCGGTTACGTGAACCACCCAACGACGGCGAGGAGTCCAGCAATCCTCTCGCACATAACCATCCCTGCATGGGATTCGAACCTGCGAACCCACGCAGAGTAATCAGAGGTGCGGTGGCGAGCGTATTCCCAACGCTTAGCCCGTTGAGCCACACCGCCGCGCCGATATAGACAAGTATTCATATATGTGAGCAATGCCACGTTTTGGAGAGCCTAGTCCTGACATGGGCAAACTACAATCCGCGGGCCAAATCCGGCCCAATGGGTAATTCAATCTGGCCCACTTCATGGGGCCACAACAAAACTAAAACCAAATTTTGATGATCTTACCTTAAGGTATTTGTTAAGATTGAAATTAAATTTAGTTATGGCACAAGGCTTATTGTTTTCCACTGTTGCTTTGTAACACTGTAAACATTGTTCATGAAATGTAACTTTTCACGATGCACTTACATGGCCCGCCAGTTTGCCATTACGTCCTGAGACTTTTAATTTGAGTCGCTTTGAGAAAAGTTGTAAAAATATTTACTTACGCTGGTTGTATCGAAGTACTGATAACCGTCTGACTTCCACCATACGTGCATTTGAACTGCAGAACTGGTACCGGCATGTCAATCACATTGCTCTTACGATTCATCCATACATTGTTGGTGTACTCAAACCCTCCTGGAATATGATCAGTGGTGTGGGTCGGAGGAAAGTTAAATTGGCTACGGATACAGTATACTCGGATCCGGTATGCTCCCTAGCTTTTTATTATGGAGAGGGGGGGACCAAAATTAGGGAATGGTAGATATTTTGCTATTACTATTGGTAACTTCCATGAATCTGTTATGTATCATCCACCCGACTATCTGCCCTGGTGAATACAAGCCACGCAGTTCTACAAGCCAATAATTTTTATTCGGAACATTAATCGGTGAATAACAATTTCTTTTTTTGTTTTTATATCCATTAATACACGAACGAGTTACCGGATACAGCGCCAGAATCCCGATAACCCGGGAAAAGACTCCTTCCGAATTCAAATAAAATTCCCGAATTTAGTGGCGATACAAAGAAATGCCTACTTCCAACACAGAGTTCCAATACATACCTCGTTCATACAACACCCTAATCCGTAACGCAATATTAAAAGAAAAGTAGCTAAAACAGCCTAGAATAAATGCCCGCGAGATGGCGCCAAATTTTGACCACGCCTACTTACCAGTGATGGCATTTTTCTTTGTTCCACATGTTGAAAATGGCGCCGGAATCTTCAGAACATATTTCTTTGAACCAGAATCATAGACTGCTACACAACTAAAATATAAATATCAGAAATTAACGTTGACTTGTCCAGACCCTGTTTCCGAGTCAAATAATCTATGACAGTGGTTCTCAAACGGTGAGGCACGCCACACGAGGGCGTAAACAAATTTTTGAGGGGGCGTGAAGCTAATTAAAAAAAAAATTGTTAAATTCGATCTTTCTCTCCTCATTTTGGATATTCACATTTCTTCTTTTTTTTGTTGGATATTTACCTTCCATCCACGTATTTTAAACGTGTTTTTTTTTTGACTAAAACATACTTTCGCCTTATTATCTGTGATTTTGGGGGAGGAGGGGGGGAACTTCAAAAGGGGGCGGGACTTCAAAGGTTTGAGAAGTACTGATTTATGAGAATTAGGGTATTTTATTTATCCGTGGCTATATTCAAATTTATCAGCCCGTATGAAATATAAGCAATCCAGTCTTCTTAAAAATACCATGTAACTCAATTTGCATAGCAAGGGTGGTCTCAGCAGTTCATTAAAAATGCTCGCACACAGCTAAGTTTTTATTGGAGTTTGGAGTTCCGGAGCTGTGGTCGGAGTCAATTTTGTGTCAACCCGGAGTCGGTGTAAATTTCTCTCAACACATCCGTAAATAGGAGCGTAACTAGAGGGGGGAGGTAGTGCTGCGGGTCGAACTTCTTTTGAAAATTAAAAAAACGAGAATATCGGTCAGAGACCGAAGACTTATCGATCGAAAGTTACGGGATCCCCCAAAACAGCGCTCTTACCTCATAGTGACATCTTGTGTCCCATCACTAATCAATTAATAACTCGCTAATTATACGACATAATTCGCCCAAAATCAATAGGCTTCTGGTCCGAGATAAGATGAATGCACATGCAAAATCTGGAGCAGATTCAATCTTGCTTTCGTGAGATATCGCGTGCATCTAACAGCCAAACAAACAGACATACAGACAGACAAATACCTATCAACATACTTACCGATTAAAATCGATAAGTAAAAACATTTTTACAGTATCATACATATAGAAATTTCGAAGCTTGAAACGATTTTTAGACCCGCAACACTCTTGAAAACTCACATTTCTGGCCTTCGTGCGCTTGGCAATTAGGAACAGGGGTGTTGCCAGAAGTTTTCATAGATGGGGGGGGGGGGAGTGGGGGTTGTTCTGAAAGTTTTATTTGCCAAGTTAGATCGAAACTACTAGCGAGTCCGATCTGGAATACGCATGTTTTTATTAGTCTCGGAGGGGTCTAAAAGCATTTTAAGCTACGGAAAGTGGCTATCTATGATACAGAAAAATGATTTTTTTTTTTACATTTTAAAGAGGGGGGGGGGGGGGGGTCGACCCGCAAAACCACTGATTAGGAATTTCAGAAACCCCTCCCCCCTAATGAAAATTCGGTGCTCCCGAAGTATGCGAACCAAGAGGGCGGACATCGGAACGTAACATGGGTAACAGGTTAGGGTTAGGCGATAATTTTTTTCCAATTTTCCTTATTTTAGTCCTATTATCAGTTCGAAGACTAGTCAAGAGCCTCCCGTAGTATTTATACCTAAAATTATGGCTTAACCCTAACCTAGTACACATATTACATTTCGATGTCCGCCATCTTGGTTCGCATACTTCGGGAGCCCCGAAAATTCCTAGTCACGCCTCTGGCATTCATTCAAGCTTTTTCACACTTTCTTACCTATGAGTGTTTCCAGCCGTAGGATAGAAATACGCAATCGCTCCTTTTACCCCAGATTCATACGCTTTGACGACAGATTCAGGAACCTTCACTTCAATGACCGTAGGTCCGCATAATATATCGGCAGGTGCTGTAAAAAGAAATCGAATAAATTATTTTAGAAACTAGGAACCACATTTCCAGCATTTCCCGAATTGGGAAAAAATAATTTCAGGGTAGGACAAGTAGTAGAAACAGCGTTTTTATACTTAATAAGGAAGGCAAATAAAGAGATCCAGAATAGGAACCTATCAAAATAGGTTTGAAACCGTTGGTATATACAGGGTGTTAAAAAAGTTACGAAAAATTAAGGTCAAATTTTCGTCATGGCAACGTTAGAAAAGTAACTGTTAAAAAACGTCAGTCATAAAATGTTTAAATGACATTTCACCGTAATTCAATACTGTTAAAAGTCGTTGAATGTTTTAAGTAGCATTTCATCTTAACTTCTCTTGATTTTGCTTTGCTTTTTTAACACCCTGTATATGTAATTTGAATCACAAAGAATTTCATTCGCATGTCATATCAATCAACTGTAACATATATTGGTGTTGCACCGCTAAATTCCAATCCAACACTTCGTGTATTTCAACATCTCCCTACGGACTCTAGTCAAATAGGTGTTGAAACGGTACTCTCGTAGTATGTGTACCAGGTTAGGGTTAGGCCATATTTTTTTCCCGATTTTCTTCATTTTACGAGTTCGGGGACTGTCTATGTTAGCCAAGTGAATATACCCCCCCTGCCCATAGGTTTCAATTCCTTGTAAAGTTTACACAACTTGATGTAAAATAGACGAACAGACTTAGTTACCTCCATATTGGTATACACACTTCTGGTGCGCCGTCAAAACCAGTTAACGTATTTTTGAGAGTTTTTTGCATAATAGGGGAACATGGGCGAACCTTGCAAGAGGCATTTAGGCATAATTTTAAACATTTTACATTCGGATCTTTTGTACAAAGCCACCAGCCCAAGAAAAAACGCCCAAAATAATAAAACGAGAATATCGTTCGGAGACCGAAGACTTATCGATCGAAGGTTAGGGGATCCCCCAAAACAGCGCTTTTACTCCATAGTGACACCGTGTGTCCCATCACTAATTAATTAATAACTAATTATACGACATAATTCATCGATTCATAATTCATCAATATACTTCTGATCCGAAATATGATGAATGCACATGCAAAATTTCGAGCAGATTCAACCTCGCTTTCGTGAGATATCGCGTGCATCTAACAGACAGACAAACAAACAAACAGACAAATACCCATCAACATACTTACCGATCTTAAGATCGATAAGTAATTACTAATTCAAATCGCGCTGGAAATTCAACTTTTTATATCATTCCTAACCCGAACTCTAACTGGATGATTAGTAATTACTTATCGATCTTAAGATCGGTAAGTATGTTGATAGGAATTTGTCTGTTTGTTTGTCTGTCTGTTAGATACACGCGATATCTCACGAAAGCGAGATTGAATCTGCTCCAATTTTTGCATGTGCATTCATCATATGTCGGACCAGAAGCGTATTGATTTTGGATGATTTATGTTGTATAATTACCTAGTTATTGATTAATTAGTGATGGGACACGCGGTGTCACTATAGAGTCATAAATCGAAACCGCAGTTTCGATCGATAAATCTTCGGTCTCCAACCGATATTCTCGTTTGTAATTTTAATACCTGGCGGGATGTTTTTCTCAAATCTCGCATTTCAAGGGGCTCCCGAAGTATGCGAACCGAGATGGCGGACATCGGAATGTAGTATGTGTACTAGGTTAGGGTTAGGCCATAATTTTAGGTATAAATACTACGGGAGGCTCTTGGCTAGTCTTCGAACTGATAATAGGACTAAAATAAGGAAGATTGGAAAAAAATTAGCGCCTAACCCTAACCTGTTACGTACCGATGTCCGCCATCTTGGTTCGCATACTTCGGGAACACCCATTTCAAAATTCATAGCGGGGTTTTGTACAAAAGATCCACGGAATCTTTCGCGTTCGGCGTTATCAATTTATTTACCTTGTCACATTTGGGAGCGGAAAGGTTTACATCGAAATTTTGTTCTAAATACTGTTTTTCTCAATACAACTAATTTTATGCTAATTGAATTAAAGCAATACTTGTTCGATTATTACGAAATAATACATAGACATTACGTAATAATGCTAATAGATTGTTGAAGGAAAGCTATACACTGGGGAATAACATAGTTTCGTTCGTCATTTTGACAGCGGAGCAAAAATTTCGATGGATAGTGGCGTTTTCGTTGGGACTATTCTTGCAATGTAATGATCGACATGGAATAATGTAGAGTTCTCCAACCGGCATTTTTTTTTTTTTTTTGAGGGGGGAAGGGGGGAGCATTACGTGTAGTGTAGTTTGACAGCAAATTAGGCAATTTGCCAATCACTAGCGTTTTCTGAAACATGACTTAATGATTGCCCTGGATATCACAAGATTCCTCGCACAATAACCATTCATAAAGGAATGACCTATGACGTCATCAACAATACCTATGACGTAATACTTGATACATAAAAATGCGCATGTAACACTCAGTACCAAAGTGAGACCGGATACACAATATTTTATCTGTTTCCTATTTTTTTTTCGCTGTGAACAAGACCCTACACCAGCAGTAGTCCTAGATAGGAAGATTATTGTCATTGTAGAATTAAGGGGTGGGCAAAATAAAGCCCGCGGGCCAAATCCGGCCCGTTTGGTAATTCAATCTGGCCCGCCTGATGCTGCCACAACCAAACTAAAACCAAATTTTGATGTTTTAGCTGAAAAAAGGCTCAAGGAATTTGTTGAGATTGTGATTAAATTTAGTTTTGGCACGAGGCCTATTGTTTTCCACTTTTGCTTTTGTAACACTGTAAATATTGTTCATAAAATGTAACTTTTTACGTCACACTTATATGGCCCGCCAGTCTAGATGGGCGAAATTTTTGGCCCTTGGTTCAAAAACCTTGCCCACCTGTTATTTTTTATTTTTTTTTTATTTAAAAAGTGAAATAAAAAGCACTTCGCAAAATAGCATTTCGTGCTGAACAATGGAAAATCTGTTACTAAAATGTTGTGAAAAAAAAAAAAACACTTCACACTATTCAATGAATATATATATATGCTCTTTTATAGATATTGGTAAATGCTAGTTCGAAGCCTTAGTTAGAGTAGAATTGTGAATAGTTTTATGTTGTCGTTGATATTGGGCGAACATTGCGTGTGAAAAGCTGATTGCCTCCTGAAATACACAAGGAGGCAAATGGCCTTTGCACATACTATGATCCCCTGAGATTGTTTTCCTGTCACTCACAGCAAGGCTATATAAACCACTTTGGGGCTCCCGAAGTATGCGAACCAAGATGGCGGACATCGGAATGTAATATGTGTACTAGGTTAGGGTTAGGCCATAATTTTAGGTATAAATACTACGGGAGGCTCTTGGCTAGTCTTCGAACTGATAATAGGACTAAAATAATGAAAATTGAAAAAAAATTATCGACTAACCCTAACCTGTTACCCATGCTACGTTCCGATGTCCGCCATCTTGGTTCGCATACTTCGGGAGCACCACCAATTTGAAACGAAGACAAAAAAACTTGGATTCAATCTGAGCATGGGCCTACGCGTAAAAAAATCTTTTTCGAGTCTCTGGTTACTTGTAGTATTATCTAACACTTTGTATAGAATAGTAGCCCATCTAAACCCGAAACATCTTTCCCGTGATAAAATATAGCCAAAACGCACTTTACAATTTATCACGAGTTCCTTATGCGAATGCGAACGTCAGTCAGTCTTCCTGTATTCGCTGTCGAAGCACACTTATTACTTATAAATGTATCAATATATTTATTTTGCTAAAGTTGCAGTTTTACATGACTAAATCCCATTCTGCACTCCCTTTGTAAAAAAACAATTATTCAAAATATCTTTCTAGGATTGCAACATAACTAACCGAACGCGACCCAATTTGGTCACAAGTTATAAGCAAAATCCTCGAATCCTCTGAATTTTGAAGCCTATTTTCTAGTGTATCGAAATATAGAGTGTCCATAAATTCTTAAAAATTGCAAAGGGATTTATCGGAACCATATATTGTTTTGACTCTCACAGATGTATTAAATGAAGTAAAAAACTTTAACAATTACTGATTAAAAAACAACAAACCTGGTTGAGATATATTGAGAACCAACTTCCTAACAAAATTGAAATTGTGAAGAGATTGTATGGAAACTATAACCGCGCTTATTTGCCAAGTTGCAGTTTTACTCTGACTAAGGCTCGCACTGTATTTTACTCCTTTTGTGAAGAAACCATTACAAAGGCTGATTCACTCGGAATATTAAATGCTTACTACAGATCACGAGGCCGTTTGCATAATATTCATTCATGTAGGAATATGACGTCACAAAAAACTGATGACGTAATATCCAATATGTGACGCAATATTGAACGTACAAAATTTATAGGTAAATTTATAGGTGTATTCATATTCGAATATGACGTAATATTTCATACATGGTTTTACATTTAATACACCCAAATTACTGCATAGTGCTTTTTATTGCTAACTCAGTATCTTGGACGTTAAGAATTTTTCAGTTATTTAAAATTCCACTTCAAATAATTTCATAGGCGCTTTGTATATTCAAACAAACAACGCAGCAATGCAATGGCGTTACTAAATACAATATACCCTCGGCATTTTTTTAAAAATCGGATTCGAGAAACCGTCTCAACCAATTTTTGGATTTCCAGATGGGGGGCACATACTTTGTTCAGGTTGTGCACCAACCTGAACATAGTATGTGTACTAGGTTAGGATTAAGGTTGTGCGCCATCTTGGTGCACATACTTCGGGAGCGCCCAATTTTTTATTTGAAGCTACAGAAGGAGACCCCAATCTGTAATGCAGTCGGTAAAACAGAATATGCCGACGAAAACTCAAATTCAAAAAAAAATTCCAGAAATTGTTATCAGAAGCGTATCTCATTTTTAATCCTAATGTGAATACTGACTTGCCTATCCGCTCCGAAAAAGAAGGACGTTCACTTTCCTAATCCCTTCTCAAAAATTCACCGATAGTAATATGAAATTACATTTATAAAAACAGCCGTAAAGTCAAACCTATCATTCACCAATAGAAAACTAACGCAAAATCCTAGCCTGCCTGCTACCAACTCCTAAGTAAGAAACATTACATTGGAAAATGTTTGTTAAAATAGGAGCCGGGCGATACGCCAGTTAACTTATATAAACAGGCCAAGCTCGAATCGATGGTGTTTTATTGTTTTACATATATAGCCCATGGTTGGCAGGTGATAACCTTTGAACCGGGAACAATTCAAAGAAGGCGGAAATAATAAACTGCTTATCGCAGCAACACGCAGTTGGCAATGTAGTGCGATTTTGGCGGGAGAAATTATTAACACTCTGGTGACGAGTGACGCAACGAATATCGAAAGAGTATTTTTTAAATAGCGCAAGTACACATTTACATTAAATCGACTTTCAAGTTGATATTTCCAAGAGAAAAGTGAATTTGTAGGAATTTTCGGTTTTTACGGTACTTTTAGGCTGTTTTTAGTTTCCATCAGATCACGAATTATGAAATTAGAAACTAGATGAAATATATACCGATCAAAATGGAATGAGCAGAAACGAATAACCAGGATTCCAAAATACATTGAAAATATTTTCAAATATAGTATGCGTTATAAACCAGTTAGCAGAAAAATTTCACAAAGAATCGTATTTAGTATGCAGGACACTTTGAGCGGTACTCCTGAAGTATGCGCACCAAGATGTCGCACAACCTGAACCCTAACCTTGTACAGAACCTGAGTTCAGGTTGTGCGCCATCTTGGTGCGCATACTTCAGGAGGTCCCTTTGGGGTATATTTTAACACCACAAGTATTTTTAGTAGTAATAGTGGGTGTGACTCAACAATTTTTTAATATATCATTCCTAACCCCAACCTGACTCATCCAAAAATTACGTCACTGCTACGTAACAGTAACGAAAAAAGGCCCGCCAAAATATACTGACGGTCGAACAAACGCGCAGACGATAGTAAAGCCAAACATTACTGTACGATTAATTTTCGTTTTCGCAGTTTCAGAAATAATTGAATCCAAATTTTGTCCGCCAATTTTATGTCAAAAGCTTAAAACTACAAATTAAAAAAATTAAAAATTTATATCCAAAAAATCATGAATAAACTAAATTTAACTGATTTACTCAAATTTAACTAGATTCGAAGAATTTTGGACATCGCTCGAGTCCTATCAGTTTTTAAATAATGAACGTTTGCAATACTCGACGCCAAACTTTTTTGGCGTACAAAGTTGCGATTCGATTAGGAAGCAATTGGAACCATAATAATTGATTTAAAAACTTCCAAGCATGGCCATAGATGAAACATCAAAATCAAGCACTGGCCATCTATGGTCAATGCGTACAAAACTAAAATATTTCTGACGAAGTAGTCTAGTAATAGAACCCACACGCACAGCGATTTTAGAAGACGCAATTCTCAGAAGAATGCCATTTATGGCGGTGAGAAATAATTTAACCCAGAGGTTGCGAAATGAAGAAAAATATCGAGGGCGTCGTAAAATATCATTCATTTCTTAAAAATCATTTCTTTTCTTGACGAGTCTGAAACTCTATACAGTGAAGGAAACTCATTTCTAAGCAAAATTTCGAACGACCACTAAAACTATAGAGAATTATGCGCACTTACTCAGTAGTTAATGCTACGGGCACTCATTCCGATGTAAAGAAGACTCATCTCTGAGCAAAGTTGCGGGCACTCACTTAGCAGAAATAAAGGAGACTCATCTCTGAGCAAAGTTACGGGCACTCAACCAGAAGTAAAAGAGACTCATCTATGAGAAAAGTTACGTTCACTCACTTTTAGTTAAAGCAGACTCATTTCTGAGCAAAGTTAAGTTACGGACACTCATTCAAAAGTAAAGGAAACTCATTTCTCTGCAAACTTACAGGACATAAAATGATAAAATCTGCTGAAACTAACTTTGAGAGAGAAGTACAGTTATGTGCATGAAAAGTTACTTACAGCCACTGAAAGTCCAAGTGCTTCTGAAACCATGTAAATGATATTGGTGCAAGGCCTCTCGTGCGGATACCAGACCATATTGGTTTAGGGGAAAGGCAACATAGCATATCTATGAACTAAATCGTATAAAAACTCGTAACATACCAGCAGCGTGATCCAACGATAGGTACGTCAACCCGACTGCCCCTTTCCCACCCCCGACGGGAATCAAATCCACGCCAACCAACTTAATTATTTACTTACCAATATCACATAGTCTTCCGAGATTGGCTTTAGATCCAGAGCACAAGAAACCGCTTTCATGCCTCGCTGATAATTTGCATTGGCAGCCATTTAAGCAAGGGTTAGGAGTACATGGTGTCACCTGTAAAATACAGAAAATACATACATGACGTCACTTGCGTAACACAATATTTGGTGACGTAACATGTGACGTCATATAGTGATCTTAATATAAACGCAGATACACATTTATAATATATGTTACAACGAAGTGAAAACTCTAATCTCGTCCTTTCGAATGTATTATAAAATTTGCTGCCATGCAAAGGTTGTCATGCTGGGCTTAATTTGACTCGTTGTGTGACTCGGCCTTTGGCGGGGCCTGCTGGATGTTACGGTCTAACTCAGGGTAGTCCAAGGTTGTCAGATCCGCGGGCCACAAAATTATTTTTGCATTGCTCGCGGGCCACAATAGTGCCAACTGCCAAGAATAGATAAACAGTGCAAAACAAACACTTTTTTTGTGCAAACACATAGTTATCAGACATAGCCATCCAAGGTTAATAGAATCCGCATTCGATTTTTAGTTTTTTATTGTTAGCATATATTCCCAACCAAAAAGATAGAAAGCCAGATAATAATTTAGACTGTCAAGCACATCATTCAACTTCGCTAGTTGCCTCAGCTAGCCATAACACTAGTCAATCAGTGACATTAGTGATGTAACAATATGTAAAAAGATTTTTTCTGATTTATTTTATTACAAAACAACACGAAATGCTATTTTTTGATTACTCTCCGAATGTGACGCGGGCAACAGATAATGAAGCGGCGGGCCACATGTGGCCCGCGGGCCTGGGTTTGGACCACACTGATCTAACTTGGCAATTAAAAATTTTTCACCCCCCCCCCCCCCTTTGTGAAAATTTCTGGATGCGCTTCTGCGAACAGGCCGGGTCTAATTACCTATCTTGGGCATCTCCAAGACGAGTCTACTTGATGTGTATAAATACATTACTATGTTGTAGTTTTCCAACGCACCCAACTTAAATATTTATTTGTTATCTCACAATTCTGCATTCTAACCATGCCGAATTCAACATCTTGAAACTGGTTTTTATAACGATAATACAGCTTTGCAATACTTCTTTTATTCCACTGATTCTGAAATTCGTTTGAGCTTAATTTGACTAACAAATGAATGCAACCCTCAACTGAACGCTTGTATATCGCGAATGGCACATATATCCGGAGTATATGATTCTGATTAATGTGAGGTTAGACCCAAGACACGTGGTATTGGCTTCTAGAAAAGATTCGAAAGAAGCGCGAACGTGAACTCGCAGCTGCGAAACAATAAAAATACAAATCGTAGTTGAAAACCCATCTGGAAATTGAAGACGTAATAATAATTTTTCTGTTGGATTACAATTCAACATTACCAAATACGTATTTGTGACGCAATACCGATATTTCTGACGTCATATTTTAAAATTCGTGACGTTCGTGAATCTTATTTGATTGGTAAAAGGAGTGCCCCCAGCGTGACAAAAAATAGGTACAAAAGTTAATTCATTAAATAACTGTTACTGCTAAAAAATCTATCGTGTTTTTAATACCGATATTTCTGACGTCATATTTTAAAATTCGTGACGTTCGTGAATCTTATTTGGTTGGTAAAAGGAGTGCCCCCAGCGTGACAAAAATTAAGCAGAAAAGTTTTCTTATTAAATAACTGTTCTTGCTAAAAATCTATCGTGTTTTTGACAATGTTTAATTGCCTGAAGCGTAATTTATAACGGAGTTAATCCATGTCGAAACGTAGATGTTTGTTTACGGTATCACAACGTAGCCTTTTTAGAGATTCGATTTAGACAAAAACCTTCTTAGAAAACGATATTTTTATCTCCACGAAATTTGAACTTGGGCGAAACTCAAACTGAAAAGCTCACCAGTGTTTCAAATGCAGCTATGATTAAACCAGCAATTATAGCAAAAAACGTACATGCGCAGATAAACACCGCTTTGGAAAACCGTTTGAGACAATTTTTTTTTTATCATTGCTTGATAATTGGGCGATAAACTAAGCGATAAATAGCCCCGCATTCAACTATGATCCAACTAGTAATATTACTAGGAAAATGCAGAGCATGTTTTTAGAAAAACCTCAAAGTAAGCTAAAGTTTGATGTTTTTTTTTATATTCAAACGATTATTATTATTTCGTTATATCATTCTTGCATTGAACACATACGGGACCAATCAGAGAATAAAATGTGATTCGTCTTACAGAAACCAAATTGATGACATTTTCTAATATTATTCAGAAATATGCTAACATTAGTAGCACAACACTTTTATCTTTAAAAACCCGGTCATGCGGAAAAAATCAAAGATAATCAAAGAACATGGACAATTAAATAATAATTAATATAAAAGACAGTTCGTTCCGCTCTCATGTCAAAAAGGTGCCAAAAAAATTTCCACGCGCAAAAAATACGGCCAAAATGTTTAAGCCATTGAAAAATTTTCAACGAAATATTCAAACTAAATTTCAGCCATTTTAAGGGTGGATCTTCTTTGGCGGAAATATTAACGGACACAGTCGGGACCGCTCATTGGATAACATCTACCGCAGCGACCAATCGCAATTTTTACACGTCCATGTAAATTAAATTCAAATTAAAAAAATTCCATTCCAGGTTTTGATTATGACTCAATAAATAAATTACGTCAATACCTTATTAAGACTTATCAATGAAAAATCTATAAAAACAATGATTTTCTTACTCATGTATTGTTATGAAACAAAGTATAGAAAATATCTCGTAAATATAATCAGACTATTCACGCGTACGGAATGCAAAACTGCTCAGCGAACGATGACACATTAAACAAAAATATTGCAACATTTTTTTTGACACGACGCCTTTTGCCCGAACGTGGAACTGCTAGAACAGGAAATTTTTTTCCATTCGGCATTAAATTTTTTTCCATTCGGCATTAACTACCCCAATTATCACGCAGTGGGTAAGATGGTGAACATGGGGTTAAACCCTGAACCAGAAACCTGCGACGGCAACGCAGTTAAGAATAATGCTTTAACCCAGGGCTCCTCAACGTGACCCAGGTGGACGCTAAGTTGTCATAGCACCCCCTCCTGGCTGTCCAAAATTGAATAGGGTAATAATTAGGGCTGGGCATTTTCGAATGTCTTGTGATTTCAGAATCGAATCAAATAATTTTTTTCGAATCGAATCTCGAATACTTGAAAATATATAATTGTAAGCGACTTTAATATAGTAATTGGTCTTCTCAACAAATGAATTACTGAAGACATAGAATAAATCTCTCAGATAGATTACTGAGCGTTCACACAAAAAAACAAACACGTTTTATCAATAACTCACTACAAAAAATAGTCAAATGTTAGAATTTAGTTAAAAAAATATGACTCCAATGGAAAAAAATTTGGGGAATTCACCTCGACCATTAGCGGAAAGATAAAAACAAGATGGCGGCGATTCGAAATTTAGCTCTGAACCGATTCGAATAATTTACTATTCGATTCGTTTCGAATATTCGATTCGAAATGCCCAGCCCTAGTAATAATACCGAGTATGCTGAAATTGAATAGTTCTACTAAGACAGCAAGTGATTTAACTTGGATAGTTCCAATAAACACTTAGGGGTCCATATGACTTTGAATAAAAATTTGGTGGTGGACAGCGAAAAAAGGTTGTGGAGTCTTAGTTTAACCGTTGAGCCAGAAGGGACTGCAAAGTTTTGGAATCTACCAGTTCACAAGCACTCGTCTCGCAAGACTTTGAGAATGACATAAATGAGCAAATAAATAGCTGCTATTATGTTCCCATGACCACCATCTATATATCGGGTGTCCGAATCGGAAAATTTTAATCTTTGCAAACATATAATTCACTGCGTATTTCCTAAAAATATACATCGCTTTCATTATCGCCAATTACCCATTCCCTTCATACTACACTATTCTAATTATACTTTTCTTGCATTTTTGGCAGGGGTGTGCAACTTGCGGCCGCGGGCCAAATGCGGCCCACGAGTAAAACTAATGCGGCTTTCGGAGAAGCGCCACTTTTGAATAGTGGCGGCCGCAAAACGAGTTTGATTTAATCTAGGATGTGCGAGCAATTCCAAATGATTTGCGTTGCCATGCCTTTTACTGAGCTTGCGCAGAGCGAACAACGCGTGTCACAAGATCAATAACCATAATGTTTGTGTCTGCAACTACTAGAGAGCTGATGTTGAGTAAAATGCGGCCGCGGTTTCATCCAGTTATTTCTATCTGGTTCTCCTGTATTGAAGGTTACACACTCCTGCTCTATTGCAACGCTCAATATATCCACCAAATATAGACTGTACCTAAAATTACGCAATATGTCACACATACCCGATCACACATAATTAACTTAACACCACAAAGTTGTTCGTAACCTTGAAAACCGTTGACTAACTCCCTCGTGTAGTTTGCGATTACTCGTCTAGACAACTCCCTTGGCGATAGGTGATATGGAACATGTGTTTTGATAAATTCTTCAATAACTTTTCAGATAGAATTTTCGTATTTCGGCCTCCCAATCGAATCTAACATGAAGCCTGGGACTTTGACAGTTCATCCCCCCAAGCGCCAGCTAAGTATTAGAAGAACATTTTTTTTTCAGTGTTTCATGCCGTCATGTGTACGTCAATGGACTACTGTGGTAAGAAGGGCAGCTCTTTCTAATGGTAAGTAATTCAAAGCAGAGTTGAATAAAGCGGAAAGTCGCCATGTCAAACATTTCCTCGTCTTGTTAGATTATGTTTGCATTCAGTTAACGTAGGGTAGACACTGTTCAAAAAATCGTTGAAAAAGGGCATTTATAATGAAAATGAAACATAAACTAACTTAATTTAATCGCCGCTAAAGAAAATATCCATTAAGATTTATAAGCCCAATCTCTTTGACTCGTTGCATCAGATTATATACGACTTGTTTATCTTTCAGAAAATTACAAATTACAACGCGATAAAGGTTCACATAATCGACTTAAAAACCGGTTGGAAAGCCGGTATGTTTTGTTACCGAAATTAGACACCGGTCGTTCATTGTTTGTGGCAAAATAAG